CAAAGATGAACATGGCGAGCTCTTTAATTTCAAACGCATGCCTCTGGAATTTGAATTAGAAATTAATTAACGCTTTTTATACCATGTCGGCTGCGAACGAACTGCCTTCCGCTCCTCCTGTATGGTTGGCTATTTGTTTCAAAATTACAACAAGGTATACGGGGGTTTTTCTACCGCGTACACTTGTTTACATGCGTTACGTATGGGCTTTAAGCTCATATATATATGATCGTTTAGATCGCGTATATACGCATTTTTAAAGGGCCACATATTTGCGTAAACTCAAGCGCGGGGATATGCGAAATAAATGCCCAAATATACGTGTCCTACAAAGACCCATATATACGCGTACTAAAATGCGCGTATATGCGGGGCTCGTAAATTACGTCGTATATGCTAGCACGAAATGTGCCTTTTGAGAGAATGGCTGTTCGTGTATGATAGCAATGAAAATTACTTCAACCAGATATCGTCAATATGGCAGTAGAGGTAAAATGCCTTGTCTTGGTCTATCTCCTATTTAATGTTTGTTACTGCAGCTCTCCAGTGACTGAACTTCTAGAAACAGTTATGCGTCTTTTGAATGACTGTTCAAGATTTTATCCTCACGCTGATCATAACACGGCAGAGAAGTTGATCGTTCGTCGTGAAGTTGCTGTGGATTCTGTTCACCGTTTAGTTATTCATTGGACAGAGGTGCCCAAGCGAATGCTGAGAGAGTTCTGCCTCTTGAACTGCTGGTGAGACAAATTCAATACTTACTACATAGACGGAAAATGTTTGTAGTAAGAGCAGATTCATGTACCTCAGTACGCCCCATAACGCTTTGCCAACTGTATGGACTATCAGCTTCTAATGGAAGAGTGTGTCGTCCAGCCTATAAAATATCAATACCTATCGAGGGAACGTTCTTAAGAAAAAGAATATGCTTTACTTGGTCCCAGGTATCAAGATTAGCCACTCTTTGGCGTAGAGTTAGAAACATTCAGTCATTCTCCAGTCGATGTTATTATACGATTTAGACGAACTGATCATTCGGGAAATAAGACTGACGTGGGTTTCCCAATTCTGGTATCAGTATCAAGCTGGGTCATTTGTGTAATATTATGAAGACACAAACGGAGTAAGACGAAATACACTTTACTCGAACTCGACACGATTACAACTGAACTTCAAGCTATAACAGAATACTAAATAAACTAAAGCACCGCGGGAACAGGTCCCTAGAGGCACATGCTAATGCATATTATAACAATTTGTGAAGTAGAAATATCTATGTTTAGCGTCAGCGTGTAAGGGAAAGTTTTTTCGAACTGACCCAGCAGGGCCTACGAGGTGGTTGAATACCCTCACAGGGCGTGTTTAATTCTGCTGCGACTGGGCTCGCTCTCTTCTTATTTGCTGTGCAAAGTTATGGATTGCCCTTTAGAGTGTGTTCAGACGAAGGGGATGAAAATTAAGGGGTAGGAAGAGCTATGCTATGGCACAGGGGATTTAATAGGGGAAGCAAAATTGCTGGGTTGTCTGTACACACCCAGTGAATTGAGTGTTTCTGGGGAGAAGTCTTCATTGGAGTCGGTCAGTTCTACTACACCCTGTTCTACCAGATGGAAGAAAATGGCATCCTGGAATCGACCATCAAAATCGATCTGTTCTGTTTGCATTACATATTTCTTTCCAGAATTAACACCCAGTTAAACCTCCTGGTTAAGGCAATAATAATCTTGTACGCACAGAGGGCCACTGGACTCCTCAACAAATGTGGGTGTACACAGTGATTTCATAAGATAAATGTAATACTGGAAATACTAGCTGTCAGGGACACATTTGATGATAACACCCAACCAGATGAATTAACTGGTGAAGACTCATAGGACTTACACTAAAATCACCTTCTGTTTCCTAAAACTCCCCTTGAGATAATGATATTTCATAGGCTGGACAACCCACTCTTCCATTAAAGGCTGATACAGTTGGCAAAGCCCTAATGGGAGGACTGAGGTGCATGAAACTGCTTTTAATGCAAACATTTCCCATCTAAGTAGTAAATGTTGCATTTGTCTCACCAGCGATTCTAGAGGTCGTATCCTCTCAGCATTCGCTTGGGCACCTCTGTCCAATGAATCAACTAAACGATGTACAGAATAATCCACAGTAACTTCACGACAATCAGCGTGAGGACAAAATCTTGAACAGTCATTCAAAAGACGCATAACTGTTTCTAGAAGTTCAGTCACTGGAGAGCTGCAGTAACAAAAATTACATAGCAAATAGATCAAAACAAGGCATTTTACCACTGCCGCCATCTAAGTTAAAGTAATTTTCATTGCTATCATACACGAACAGCCATTCTCTCAAAAGGCACATTTCGTGCTAGCATATACAACGTAATTTACGAGACCCGTATATACGCGCATTTTAGCACGCGTATATTTGGGCCTTGTAGGACGCGTATATTTGGGCATTTATTTCGGATATCCCCGCGCTTGAGTTTACGCAAATATGTGGCCCTTTAAAAATGCGTATATACGCGATCTAAATGGTCATATATACAGTCTTAAAACCCATACGTAACGTATGTAAACAAGTGTACGCGGCAGAAAAACCCGCGTATAACCTGTTGTAATTTTGAAACGAATGGCCAACCATACTCCTGAAAGCTCTAGCTGAAAATTTCCGTTTGCAAAAGATCGACGAGATAGCCAAAGTTTTGGGCCACGAGGTCGGCCACTATCGCCTCGTTGCGAAAAAATACAAACGGGCAAAAACATTTGTTAATTGGAGTGCTGCGGGCTCCAGTGTTCTGTCGGCAGCGTTTTCAAGGGCAAGCTTTGGTTCGGCTCTGTCTGTGGTTGGCCTGCCGGCCACAATTCCATTAGGTGGCGCTGGCGGCTGTTTCGCTCTCGTTTCTTCAGGTCTAATAGTCGCCAGCAGAAAACTTGATGCGAAAATTACAAGCATCAAGAGATTACCATCCTCGCCGTCGCCAAACGTGACACAATCAGCAGGCTCTTATCCAAAGCTTTGAATAACAACGCCGTGTCCGCCCACGAGTTTGACATCATTCTTTCCGAGTTTCAGCAGTACAACGTCCTGAAGGGACAAGTCCGAGCCAAGCTGCTTCGCCAACCGTCGAGCAGAAAGATTGTTAATGTTGAAAAACTGGAGAAAGATATTTGCGGCAAAGTTGAAGCGGAATTAATAAAAAAAATAACCTACCCCGCCGCTTCGAATTGACATTTGAAAACACAGTTTCATTTGCATGTTATAAAAACATGATTTTCAGTTTCCACTTGATCGTTTTTCTCGTGAATGATTGTCACGCCTGAGTGGCAGAGGAACGTGCGTGATATAACACGCGAAGTTGTTGACGCGCTTCCGTTTGTTTAAGGCCTTCAGACTACAGCTTCCAGTTGCGCATTCCTCTTGGCTTCAGTGAAAGCTGGTTGCATTCCTCTTGGCTTCAGTTGAAGCCATCAGGAATTTTCAAAGCCATCAGGAATGTTGAAGCCAAGAGGAATTTTACAGGCAGATTTCAACTTTTTGCCCACAGTTTGTTAGAATACGGCATTTCTTCTCGGCCTGGTCAATAAAAATGATACTTTTCACCTTTTTTCTAGGAAAAATCGGGCACAAAACGCGGTAAAACAAAGAGCTTCCACTAGAGCGAAAAAAATAAACAGCTGATTGCCCCAGGGCAAATATTACACGCTAGACATGCATGTCTCTGTTTACATTTCTTTTGACAAGAGAATATTGGCGACCTCTTGTGGGTTCATCCGTTCCATCTCATCAACAACATCAGCGGGTAAAAATAATAAAATTTTATCATCATTCAGCATTCCAAAGCGCCACCACTTATTTCCTCCTCTATCTCTTGGGTATTTGAAAATTTCTGGCTTCTTTTGGCTTTGATTAACTGGCCCTCTTCTTCCGCGGCCCATATTTTATACCTAAGACCCGCCAATCTTCAATTGCTTTCTTTTTTGTCAAGGCCGAAAGCTAGCCTCGTCACAGCGATCGCTATCCTCGCAGCCAAAAACCCTGCTCCAAAAGCAGCAAAGCTTCTTAAAATTTTGTTAGAATCTTCGAGCTCTTCTAAGCAGGTGTACGTTTCTTCGAGGGCTTCATTTACCTCGTTACATCTTTCGTCAAAATCGGCTGTCAGTTCCTCGTGGGTGCGGATGGCGGCCATTTATAGCAAAACCCTCCGCGTGTTTAATTGGCTGAAACCCTTGACGCGGCCATAGCTTTTCCTATGCCAAGACATGCCCCTTGTTCGATTGGAAAATAATCCTAGATCAACAATCGCGGGCAGTTAACACACATGTATAATGGGGGTTCTGGACTCAAACAACTTGGGCTCCAAGACTCCGAGCGAAGCGAGGCTTCTTATAAGGCCGAGATTTGTCTGATCCAGAACCCCCATTGTACATGTGTGTAAAGGTGTCATTCTGTTTATTTGGTGATGTATATTTCTGGTGCCAAGTGTGAACAACACCCCTCCGGTATCCCTAGAGATATTCTTAATTCAGTGTTGTGCGGTTTCAGTGGCACGATTTATGACGTCATCGCTTTCCCATTGCATAATAGGAAACGTAATTATCTCTTCGTGCTTAAGTATCTATGTAATTAGCTCGGCACTCTCTTATGCAAATTTGCTTCAACTCAGCCTCATCACAAACCGCTTTTTATCTTTAATTATGTAACCTTGATAATGGCGCAAGATGCACCGAAACGTCGGTTTCTATCACTTATATCTCTTGATTCATGTAATTATCTCTAAAATGAAAGAAGATGTTCCAAAAAGGAAAACTCCATTCTTCTTTATTTAAAAAAAAAAACTTTCAAATAAGAAGCAATATATATATATATATATATTTTCTTTTTCTTTTTTTACGGGAATGGCATTTATTTTTTACCTCCTTTCACTTTTAAGAGTGTCAGGCAGCCTAAATCTCGCTACTATTGATTTCTATTGTTAGTTGAAATACATCATTGTTACAGAGGCGCCAAGAGGAAAGGGGTGTCATGTGACGTGCGTGGCATCATGTGACGTCACTTACCAACAAAAACACTTCACTAACCTTGTAGAGAACAGCGTGAACTATTTACTGAACGAACTTAGATGTGTCGTAAGGTGGATCGCTAAAGCTTCAAGTAAGTAAGAAAGCCCAACTTTTAGCTTGTTTCTTTGCTGTTGTTGTTGTTTTTTGTTGTTGTTGTTGTTGTTGTAGTTTTGTGAACTAATCGGCAACTAAACTCAGTTTTTAAGTCTTCAACCATCGCGTGCGATACTTAAACAATAGTTACTAGAGTGTGAAAAAAGATCTAGATAATGTAAAAACGGACTGGCTAACTATGAATTGTCTCCAAGGTTTTTCGTCTTGTATCAACGTAACGGACGCATATTATCTTTGGCAAATTTTTTTGTAGGTGGATTTGTAGCGTTAATATTTTCAAATGTCGTCATCCCAGTCATATCAATAAACCGTCCAAGAAAGATTCCAAACCGTCGTAAAGCTAAGTGAAGTGCTTAGAAGAGCGGAATTAGATGGCGATTGGAGCGAAAAGTGCTAAGTTGCAAAACGGAGAAAAACGGTAGAGTAAATGATCTATCAAAGGAGAAAATGGGGGTCACCGCGCGCACGAAATGAAATGTTATTTCATTAGCGTTTATTAAATACGGTGATTATATTTATTCTTCACGTAGCTCCATTGCTATCCTTTTTCCATACCTGCAAATGGTGAAACCTGTACAGGAATCAGGAAAGAAAATTATCCGGATACCTGTTTAAACTGAATGTCTTTATTTACAAAATGTGCAAATAAGTAATCTTCCTTTTGTAGCAACGCTATGTAAATGAAATATTTAAGACAAAAGCCATGAAAGTTTGCTTCACATTGCAACTATACACAAAGCAAGACCTTACAATGCCAAATGACGACTGGAACCATTTGGATGTGGAAAGTGAACGCATTAGACTACAAGTAATTCATTGTAATATCAAAAGGCTCTTTCACCAATTACGTGATAATCATTGTGCAAAAACTATTATTATTCATGAATAGCAAGTAGAATTTTAATTAAAAACTGTCAGGTGTTCATCACATGTCTTATTTGTATTTACCTGGTAATTTTACTAAGTGCATATCGCGTCGGTGACTAGTTGAACGGAGTTATAAGGTGAGTTCCTTGGCCATGTCCTTTAAGTGTCGATCTTCGTTCACCTCGATAGAGAAAATATCTCATTAATATAATATATTTCTTAATGCCTAGGCCTTTTAATTTCAATTTGGTCATCTACGTTTAGTGCGTGTCGTTATTCCTGCTTTCCATTTCGAGGATGCTTATGTCTTTTAATACTGTGAATGTTCTTTACGGGTAGAGAATAGAAGAGAAACTATGATGAGATTATAAGTAGGCCTTTGTCGACAATGATTATTTTAAGACTCGGTAAAGTTAAATATGGAAATGAAACTCATTGCTTTCGAACAATACGACCTCGTTATGCAATAGTGTTTACAAGTGGTTTTTTTCTTCCTTTCTTTCTTTTTTTTTTTTGTTTTTGTTGTTGTTGTTGTTGTTGTTGTTGTTGTTGTTTTTTTTTAATAATGCCATAAATGCAAGCTTTGTTTGAGGTCTTATCCCAAATGTGATCATTTCAAAAACATAAAAATTCCCTTTAAAATGTAGTCCTTGCGTATGTTTGACAGCGGCGTCAAGCATACGTCAAACAAACATTTAAACACCTTTCTAAGGCAAAGCTCCAGATGTTTATTGCTCTAGCTTATTTGCATGTGGTAAAAGTGGCATAAGAATTATCGGTTTTTTGGAGCTTCACAGTGAAATTCGTTAAGTGGGGCTACCTCTTAGGCTTAAAACCTCTCGACAATGCAACTGCAATTTGTTAGGTGTCGATTTTTTTCTCATGGAAGCGCGTTTGTTAGGTTTTCAGTATACTATACGCCACTAGAATTTATTACTTACTTCTGCTTGTAGCATTTGCCGGTTTATTTTTTTTTTTAATTATGATCTCGATTTTTAATTTCATTTTGATCTAAGAATTCTAGCTCTTTAAAGAGAAAAGATAGGCTAACAGTAAGGAAGTTCTGTGTTCTAAGGTTTCTGAGAAAATTACAATCGAGAACCGGGAATGGCATTTACATTCACATTTACGGTAATTCCTCCGAAACAAAAGTTGCCGAACAATTGTTTTGAAACTTTCGCTGAATGTTTCCAACCAAGCACTGTTTCGAAAAATACGATAAAAAGGATAGGTCACCATGTTCTCTTAAGAGATATGGTGGGACAATCTTACCTAGTTCATTCATGCCTAACCACGGGCGTTATTTCATCAGTTCACGTTACATTTAGTGGTGACTGGAAGCAAAGGTTACTAAAGGGCATGTAAACCCCAAAATACAAGTTTTTATTATTCGACGCAAACAGCAACGTAGAAAACGAATTTGGCATTTATTTTGCTCGTTTGGGTTTCGTTAAGGNAGAACACAAACTTCACTACATTATGTGCACTAATTACAGAAACTACAGGGAAAGCACAAAAATACAAACAACACAAACTAAGAGAACATCAAAAACAACACAACCTCAAGCTAAAACTAAGAAAATAAATCGTGAGCAAGAGCTGAAACTAAACAACTTACAGAAGCAACCTGACAATTACAGAATATGCGAAAACACAGCTACGGCTAGAAAATACAGGCTAGTCGCTTACAACTTACAGGATTAACTACGAAGCAACCAATTTTCCAAAAGGAACAAAAACCTCAAAAAGGAGACTACTAAAACAGCCTGCAAACGGACAAACTCTACAGAACCTACAGACACTACAGACGCTACCAACACTAGAAAAACTACTAAAGTTATATAGGAGGAAGAGAAACTACAGAACCTATAGAAATTACAGAAACTTCAGAAACAACAGTAACTTACAGAAACTACAGAAATTACAGAATCAACAGAAACTATTCTACAGCCGGAAATTACAGCAACTACAGACCCAATACTACAGCCATCAGTTACAGAAACTAGAGAAACCACAGAGACTAAAGACCCTACAGAAATTACATATCTCAAACACTACATTAAGTACATAAAGTACAGAAACTACAGAAACTACAGAAATTACAAAACAATACAAAAACTACATTACAGAAACTACAGAAACTGCAGAAAGCACGAAAATTACAGAAACTACAAAAACAACAGTAACTGCAGAAACTACAGACACTACTGACACTACAGAAGCTGCAGACAATAGAGAAACTAAACAAACTACATAAAATATAGAAATAAGAGGAACTACAAAAACTACAGGAACTACACAAACTACAGACACTAGAGAAACTACAGACACTAACGAAAGTACAGAAAAAACAGAAACTACAGAAATTAAAGAAGCTACAGAAACTACAGAAACTACGGATATTAGAGAAACTACAGAATCAACAAAACCTACAGAAATGTAAACCCAAAAATACAGGTTTTTCTTATTCGACGCAAACAGCAACGTAGAAAACGAATTTGGCATTTATTTTGCTCGTTTGGGTTTCGTTAAGGAGAAAAACAGCTTTTACGAGAAAAAATCCACTTCCGGTGAAAACAATAGCCATCTGGCGTGACGTAAGCGGTGGAACACAAGTATTGCGCAATAGGGATTCCATATGAGAATTCTATGGCGGATCGGGAAAGTGGGAGTAGCTCGGAGGATCTTTTATCGGATGACAGCGATTCAAATTTGG